TCGTAAAGGAGTCCCATCCAACAACTATTTTCTTCTGCACCGTAACAGAAAAAAATAATCAGTCGCGCATTTTTCTCCATTTTTTTTTTTTTTTTCTTCAAAAAAAAACCTTTGGACAACTTGTAAATGATTAGTGTGAGAGCGGCGAGTACATAGTATGTGCCCGGTACAAGATGAAATGTATGCATGTTATACATAAAAGCCGGTTCATTTTTGTGAACTGCAGCTCAGTTAAGAAAGGGTGATAGTTCAGAATGGATTATTGTCTAATTGAGTTTTTCTTGATCCCTAAGATCGATGGGGAAAGTAATTCAGTGTATTGTACGTAACCTTATGGCACAAGCATTTGAGTACACAATAATCATGCTTAGGTATTCAAAATTTAGCTCAGCCATTAATCAAGTACAAACCACAAAACTGTGGCTGTCGAATAACGGGAAAAAAGAATTTAAAAAAAGTTGAACTTAGTATTTGAAATCAAAATTATAAAGATCTATATTTTATCATACTCATCGGTGCTGCAAATTTACCCTTTTGGAAAATTAGTCAAACAACAATTTGTAATTTTCTTTGAGAATTAAGTGTAAGAATTCTTAAAACAATGCCAATTAACTCATTTAGATCAGCTTATAGGATATCTTTTCAGACCACTTGACTTCACGTCGGTTGGACTTGTGTTTTTGTTGTTTTTTTTTATTCATGGAAAGATGCAAGTTCTCCAACATGTGAGAAAGTCTACATAGTTCTGTTTTTCAAGACATAAAAGGGGCACTTATTGATTTTTTTCACAAAAATGCTGCATATTTTCCAAAATGACCATTCAGCTACAAGATTCAAACAGCATCCCTATGAGTTCAGATGGAGGGACTTGATTGAGGCAAGCTGCATAACTTGATGTTCTGATTCCTCAGTTTTAACGTCCTTATAAAACATTCTATATTATTACTTCAGTATCATCCGAGATATTTGCAAAATTAAAGATTGGACGTTCAAAGAAATTCCAGTTATAACAGTCTCAAATTGTAAATTTGGTTTCGTTGCATTTTATAACTGTGTACAGGAAAAGCAAAACGTAGAGCCCATCAGAGTATATTTTTAGGCAGTTACCCAAAATCAATATAAAGAACTCCTTGATTTCCTAACTTTTTCCATTCTTTTTGACTAGCTTCTTTGTTGTCTTATATACCAAAACAAATACCATAAATCAGATAGATTTATATCTATTATATATCGAAATTATTCTCTTAGACAAAAAGTGGAAAGACTTTAACATAATATGTTTTTGCTAGAGATTAAAGCCACACATGCTTTGGTTTCGTTTTCGTTTGAAAGCCTATGGAATGACGCCTCCTTGAATTGACTAATTTAGTTGTCGGCATCTTCTGAGGTCGTTTGTAATCAGTATACCTAACTGGATAAATATTTTCTCCATATATAAAGAAAATAAAACAAAAGAGAACAAAAGAAAACCCGACATATTAAAACTTGGAAAAAGTTCATTGGTAGTAAACTTTGGGAATATTAAATCTGTTCAAGGTGTTTTGAGTATAGCCAAAACAAACTGGCAAAGTGCTATGCACTTTTTGGCGTCACGAGTAGTAAACAGCTTGTGTCCAATCTGTTATGTAATTTTGTCTTTCTGCAGTTCCGTTTTTTGTCGGTTCGCTGTAGTATCAAAAACACTGACCTCCATTTACTTGAGGACATCAACAAGAAAGATAAAAAGTAACAACAAAAAAAGGCAACAGAAATCGTCTCATAGCAGAAGGCTTACTCAAAGACCAAAATGGCGGGCTTTTTTGAGAAAGTATTCTAAAGGTAATTGCATTGTCAATCCAAAAGGAATAAAAATAAAAAATAAAAAGATTGAAAAACATCTTTAAAAAGTTTTCGTCTTTCTACCTCGTGGATTAAGTACATAAAAACAGCAAACCCTTTTTGACCCCATTGATACGTACAAAGAACAAAGACGCTATAAATGTTGACACCAACATGGCAGAAAAGACGTCGGGTCATCTGTGAAACACCGAAGCGAGAATGATCTTTGAACCGCTAAAAAAATCTCTAGAAAATGTCACACAAAATAGTCTAGTCATAGAGCTAGACTGTAGTGTTATTGTTTATTTTTTTAAATCACATCTTTAATCAATAAGCATCAAATTTTAAAATTCCTGCCATTGCATAAAAATAGAAACAACACTGCTTGCAATTGAACGCAACGCAACAAATAATCACCATTATCAAGTCTAGAATCAGCAAAACCTTTATCATTTTCCTTACGAGCTCATGATTTCAAAATAGGTTCATTTTGTCAGATTATTGGAGCCCCCAGTTGCACTTTATGATATAATTAATAGAAACACAAACAGTACATGGATCATGATGACCTCTTAAAGCGATACCACTAGTGACTAACCCAAATAATATGCGTTCTTTTTTTTTCTTTTTTTTCTGGGAATGCATTTTATTCTACAAACTTTGACTGGCCGCGACTATTTCATTGATAGTAAAGACGAGAAATTAGGCAATAGCTGTTATAAATGTGTCATTCAAATACGAGACTTTATAAAGAATGTGTGGCATTTGTTGTCCAACCGAGTTTTGATTATTATTTTTATTAGTTTAATGGGAAAAAAATGTTTATGGGAAATAAGATTATATTGTTACATTAATAAGTACAAAGGAGTTTGCACTCAGCGGGGTCTTACGGATATTCGTCCATAGGTACGAGGGTCATTTCTGCAGAGAATCAACAACAGTTCATGTCAGTTTGAAGGCAAGACTACAACACTACATGTGTCTTAACCATGGATTAAGGATTCGGGGTTAAAGTTCTTTTGTTTAACTGAGTGTTCAATCTTGTTCTGAAAGTCAACATCCCACACATCGATGTCTCGTTCCTTCAAAGTCCCAGTTTTTCAAGTACTTGTGCAGCTAGTTCTGGGTTATCTTTCGCCATGTTGGTTTCCTGTTTTCCTGTTGCTTCTTATTCGGTGTTTCTGTCAATCTTGGCTCTTGAAACTTCTACAAAGTAACCAATATTGGCCATCGATGAATTTATTTTGTGACCAAAATGTTTGTCGTCCACCAGTAAATCCTTTTTACCTCGTCTGTTGCAAGTGAGGGCGTTCTCTAGGTCTTTTACCCATGTCGTGTTTGAAAAACAAATATTTTATATGAAAAACAATGACAAAAAAAGCCTGTGTTAGCATTACTAAAATACTAAATAATATAAATTTAGAATAAATAAACATCTGCAAACAAAATACTTTATACTTTTGTTGATAAACTGACGTAGAAATGAAATACAAGACATTTGTTTCGTACTAATCAGTAGCTTACGAAGCTGTACAAACAGTCCCTGGTATGGTGTAAACTTCCCATCGACTGATCTGCAAACAATTCAGTTCAATTCATTCCTTGAAAAATATCAACATCTAATGATATTGGTTTAAAAATTCATAAGATAGGCAATCACATAAGATAAAGACTTTCTTATTTGCTCTTAACACAATTTAATTACTTATATTTTGCTATAAAGGTCGCTACTTTGCTGATAAAATACCCAACACTTTAGAGTAGTAGAGATAGCAATTTTAAAAGTTTGATTCCAGGTTTTCCTTAAAATATTATCTGATTTAAAAAACCTTATTTAAGTCTTTACACTAGAATAATTTTATTGAGAGGATTTGTATTCATCGGTCAGTGTTTTAGAAGAGACTATAGTAAAGTTTTGTAAATGTTTCGGCCATCTTGGGATTTTTTAAAGCAAGCATCACTATTACTAGAAATTTCGTTCTATCTTTGTTTCTATCAAAGTGTATTCCTCTCTCACTACTGGGACATTAACACTAGTTCCTAGTACAAATAAGAAAAGTATTATTTATGAAAAAGCTACTAAAACGAGGAATTCTGAATTTTTTTACTTCAATCAGTACTTTGTTGGTGACATCAAAAGGCCTGTAGCATCCTCAGAGTCTCTTCCAACACTATACGTATTTTCGTATCGTTTATTTAGTCTTTGCATAAAGAAATATAAAAAAACAAATTACAGCTGCAACGGGTTCAATGATCGAATTCGTATTTTTATGCAAGGGAGTTATTTTTGAAAACGGTAAAAGGAGAGTGCTGCAACTTGATGAGTACAATATTTGGAGAGTTCCATCTTCGACTGAATCGAAACGCACCTATCAAGGATTTTGAGCCCTGTATTATGCTGTACACTCCGTTTAGAACAATTTCAGGCGTCCTAGCTAGATTATTGAACGCTTCATAAAGAAAAAAGACAAAAAGGATTACATTTTTATTGACACTCGCTAAGAAAGAGGTGTTTAACTAAGTGGAGTTTGTAAGAATTTTCCACAAATATGAAATTCAAACAAATGTTATTGATTACTACAGTAGCATCTTGCAGTGCTACCAAACCGACCATCAATTATAACTGATTAAGTTAAAGATGCGATTGGATTTACTAATCCCATTTGTTAGTTAAATGAGTATAAAGTCGAATGCAGTGTGCGAGAGAGGGATCTTACAACCCATTTTACCACCATAATTTATACTTTGGCTCGCTTGAGTCTTTGTTTTGGAAAAAAATAAACTACTCTCCTTCACTCAAAATCACTAGTTACAATGAAAATTAATTATTTGTGTTAAAGTAAGGTTTATCGTCTTGAAGATAAAAGCTGAAGTATGTGAAAAAATAGCAACAAAATCTAGTACATGAAGTAACAATAGCTCTGCTTAATAACGAGTACATAGTCCACGACGAAAACTAAGCCTTTTTGACCTCGAAGAAGAAAATTTTTACTGTTGACACTGATTTGGCAGAGAGGAAAGATAGGGTCATACTTGCAATACACTCTTGTGATCTTAGAATTGCTAGTAACTTACTACATTATTAACACCCTAAATTGTGGTGAGTTTTCCATTCAATTTTCGGTTTACTTTAATGTTTTTACGTTCTACAAGATTTGGATTCCAGTACTTTAAAATTCTGTCTAACAGAAAATGCTTATAAAACTCAGTTGGATTAATAGCTTTAAATTCAATACTTGAAAGAATCAATAACTGAAACCAAAACTTCGATAAATGAGGTAATGCCTTTTTTTTAAACTTACAGACCTTCAGCTTTTTCAGTATCTTAAATTAGTAATTCTTAAAACAATGTAATGCTATTAGTTCATCCTCAATTAGAATTAAGCAAGTTTACCTTTATGAAGCTTGTATACACACAATGAATTGAGCTTAAAACTGAGCAACTCTCTGCTTTGTCTCATCAAAGCTTTACTCAGAGATTCTATAGTGTATTATTGTACATGAAGTTGATAGATGATGAGCCGAACGGACAGAAATCTCCACAGAAAACGCTCCAAATCTTCAAAAAAGTATTAAAGGAACTATCTTCTTCTCCGCTCTAAACTTACAAAGTAATCTCGCGTTGAAACAAATTGATTAATGGCTAGAAGTTAATATGAGTAGTGAAAGCAGCATCGAGACAGAACCAATAACGAGCCTTCTACAGAAGCAGACATACTTGTTCCGATGAAAGTTCTAATCCGTTCTGTAAACGCTTCTCTTTGAAAATGCCTAAAACACGAAGGGTATGTATGTCTAGAGGAACATACTCGCCGCATACTATACGGTGTCTTAACTTACTAGCTATCCTTATTTCAAATATGGTTTTCAAAGTCCTCAATAAAAGAAAAGCAAGAGAAACATACCTCAGAAAGAAAGAAAATTCCAAATTAGTAGCATCGGCCTACAAGGAAGCTTCGCCAAAATGGCTGCCATCATCTGGTACAAAAAGTACTTTTTTGTCGATTCTGTTCATTATTTTATTGCTTTTCTCTTGTAGAAAGTTACCAACTTTCTTTTCTTTCGTTTCTCTTTCTCTAAGAGGTTCACTCTTGCTTTTGTTACATGGCTTTTCATGCTTTACGGGAAATTTATAACTTGCAGTTGTTTGGCCCTTCCCGCGGGAAACTCAACGTCCATCAAGATGCACTATAACTATCACTCATAAATCTGCCACAAAATTCATTTCAAATGCTCTAAAATAAAATAATATGCTGTTACATATATACATTAAGGAAATATTGAGAACGAAATGAAATATTCATTACTTGTTTGATGGCGGCAATCTTTCAGTACAAAGAATTGTCATTTGTAGGCCCAGGAAGTTCTTTCAATAACTTCAGAAGTCTTTCCTCTTTTCTGATCTTCTTTAGTGCTATTCCTTTCTCGTACATGTTTCAGATATACTTATCTTAGTGATTTGGGTCTTAAATGCTGACCACATTCGAGCATGATATTTACTCGAATGTTAGTTTTAGGCCCTTTGGAACTTTATAGTTTTGCATAAAGGTCATAATTTTTAAGCGACACACTACACACCTTTAACTTTTCATGGGTGGGGAAGGAAAAACTAATTGTCCAGTGAGAGAAATCTTCCGATACCGATACGGTTGCCGTTCTGCCGATCCCCTAGGTCTTTCCTTGACGATATAGTGCGTTTTTATAAAGAAATATAACTTTTAAGCCAGTTTGGTTTTTATATGAACGGAATGTGATAGTTTCAGTGGAGAAATCCTTGAGTAGACGGCAACCAAAACTCAAAAATTGCTAATCGTAGGTTGCAAAAATGACCGTTAAAATCATGTACTCAATCATTAGCTGTTTCCTTTTCTCCGTTAAGTACTGAAAAATGTTGTAAATCATGCTGTGAAATTTGATCACGATTAGAGTACCTGGTGTATTCACTATAACACGAGAGCACTCGTTGAGTACACGACATTAAGAGGTTCCAAGAGTCATGGAGTCAAACATAAAAAATCCCTAATAATTTAATTGCTGTGAGCCGGCCAAATTGTCTTTAAAAACACAAAAAATAAAAACAAAAATTTTAAATCTTGTTTATTTTGAAATCAGTGAAGACAATAATAAATGGAGAGAGCTTCTTAGAAACTGCGGCCTCGCCAGTGAAGACAAATGGAATCCAGCTCATCTTGAATCGTACCATGTAGCTCTTGACTAAGAAGGACCTTTTAAGAGATACTTTATTCGCTACTAGGGTAAAAGGCAAAGCACAAAGGGGAAAGCCCACATTTTGAACAAGATTAGAATCTTGTTTTGTGTGTGTGTGTGTGTCTTATGATTGGCGCGAAATACCGAATTTCGGAAACTCAGAAAAATAGCTGAGACTGATATTGCTATAAACAGTCTTTGTTTATGCTCCTCTTTCTCTAATTCCAAAGGTAGCATTTGCAAAAAAGTGTCATACATGCATGTGATGAGATAAAAGTTTGGAAAAGTTCAATTTGTATTAATATAAACCTATGAACAACAACAACTTCATTCAAACTGAATTTTCAGCAAAATCACACTTTATTATAAAAGGTAGGCATATCAATGTTTTAATATTTTAAAAAAAATTGATTTAAAATAGCGTTTCTTTATTAAGCATTGTACTGGAAGTATTGGAGATAAATATCATTCATTATAACACCTTGGAACTAAATATCAATTAAAGTATAGTAGCATGTATATATACCAAATGATATAAGTCATAACTGAAACCAATGTTTACTGGTGTAAATAGCTTTGGAAAATTCCAAGTTCATTGAATTCTATTGAATAATAACAACATATATATTCGTATATTTGTCACTATGAGGTAAGAATCGAAAATAGATTCATCATAACTTTTTTTAAGATACACGTTTTGAGAGCAGCATTGCAAGACTTCTCTCTCAGAGTATATATATAGATTAATACACAGAGTATATATATTTATCTGTAATATATATATTAAAGTGCTACCGTAGATTCGAAAATAGTATAATTTTTAATTTTTTTTTGCATGTAACTTGATTGTATATATATATTTATATGAAGTAAGAGTTCTACATATGATAAAAGTATAAAGAAAACATGTAAAAACAACTTATATGTTAGCTATATATCTCTATATAAATCTGAAAGACATTGGGGTAAGACTATGAAAGCTCTAAAAATATTTCTATAAACGAGGAACAATTTTTTATAACACATCTAAGATACCTGACCCTGTTTAAATGGAAGGAATCCATGTATGTTGACAAGAATTTAGAAGAAAGATGAGGTCAGTGCAAACGACAGATGAGTGTGTGTGGTCGCTAAAACATTTTAAGAAAGAAAGAAAATATGACATTCAGAATCATAGACATTCGTACTTGTTTAGAATCGTTTAAGAAGTACATTTTTTCGCTTATTAGTAAGTCTTCGTGTAAGTAAGAAATACCTTCTTCAACAATTTACGTCAAGATCAAAATCGTGAGTTAGTTGAAGATTTCATACCATATGACAAAATAGATTCATTTGAGTTAGAGTATTTTTCTGTAGTGATTTTTAAAAGTTCTTTTATAGTCGTAAATTCGATGTTTTTTAGTTGGTCCCGGAATCAGATCTAATCGGTGTAAAATGGAGCTATTGTAATTAGTTGACCTCCTGTTTAGAACACAATAAACGTGACACATATTCACCTTTGGAACTCGTAATTTCGTTCGTTTTCGAATAGAAAAAGATAGAAAACTATTTTAGACATTAAATAGTGTTCCTAGAGATAGCTGGACAGTTTTGGTAGAATAACACATTTCAAAAATACTATGATAGAAATACTGTTCAAAGTTGATTTAAAAACCTGAAATGTTTAGTTGGTTTGTACTTTTTCTGTGTTCAAAAAAGAACTCTTCGTTTCGAGAAAACCAGACAATAAACTTGTATAAAAACAGCGAGTGAAAATCGTCTTGTAGTAATTGGATTTCCTTGTTGATTGACTTGTTTCTTTCGCTGAAAGCTTAGCGAAGTTCAATGCAACATGGCTTCCTTGAACAAGCATGACACACACAACTCGTTTAACTGAAGGTAAATCGTGGTTTTATAGTTTCCAAGTCAACAAATGTACGCATTTCTTGAAGCTTGGAAGAAAACGAACCTGATGTATTTAAACTGTGTGGCATGCATTCGTAGCCGTTCAACATGGAATCTTCCCAAACATGGCTGCCTCTTTCTTCCTTCTGGCGATTTTCTTCGTTCCTTCCTTCGGGATTCATTTTTTCCTTGATTTCCTTGCGCCATTTCGTTCGCCTGTTTTGGTACCAAGTTTTAACCTGTGTTTCAGTCATTCCCAAGTCTTTGGAAAGCTCGCCACGTTTTGCTTCTGTTAGATATTTCTCTTTGCCGAACTCCTTCTCAAGACGTTCAATCTGGCTATGAGCAAACAGGGGTCTCTGTTTAGGTTTTCTCATGAAGCGTTTGCGGCGTTTCAAAAAGGGATTCATAGCTGTGAAATTAAAAATATAAAGTGTTAGCAAAGTGTGAAATACATATTCAATGGTGCTGTTGAAATGAAATAAACTGTGCAACTAGTTAATCGGATTATATAAAAGGATAGTTCTTGTTTGGTCGTTTAGCTTCCATACGCATCGTTTAGCTTTAAGATAAAAACAAAATCATACATACGAGAAAAGTTGAAACTTTTCGCCTAAACGATTTTGACGATAGGTGAGTTGTTCCGGAATATTTTGAAAACCCCAAGTGCGGAAACGGTATTTTGAGATCACGTAGAGTTTTTCGAGTTACAAGACTCAAAATGGAAAGTAAACAATTGAGCTGCGCTCAAGAAAACATTGATGTTTTTCGCGCTCTCGTTGAGAAACAGGAGACGACGTGTGTTTAAGTCACGTTTACCTGAACACGTTGCGCACTGAGGGTCGTATATAGAGAGATGTAACGTATGATGGACCACAAATTGGGAAGAAAAAGCAAGACAAATCGAACTACAGTACAACAACGAGGACGCTGTTTCTTAGGTTAAGACAACAAATGGTAAGACCAACACCCTGGAGTAGTTACTGGCTTCACAGCGCGTGGTCTCTCTTAACACTCGATTTATCATGCTCAATTCGGGTCTACTCAACGTACGAACACGTCACTATGTGACAAAACGAAAAACTAACCAACTATATGTTGCACTCTGATGGCCTTTGCACCGTACGGAAATAACTAAGACAAGACAAGACTATAATGTCATGGCAAGTCAAGTCTAAAGGTACTTATAGTTATACTTACACATTGGGATCCCTTGTCTAGGGTAGCTTAAGTTGAATGGGAAGGTTGGGAACGGGTGTGCGGCAGCCATATGGAAATCCTCAAGATTCAATGGGTTTTGAAAAGGCAAAGGTGGAAGCATTTGCGTTATGCTGAAGTCCATTAGTGATGGCCTTAGGGCTGTAGGCAACAGCGATGGGACTGCGGCTAGTGGTGGAACGTTGCTAAAACCTTGTGGAAAAATGTCAAATTTTCTAGCCTCCTGTGTTCCGCTGTTTTGAATGTTTAGAATGTTGTCTATTGAAAAAGAGCTCTTACTTGGAGCCGTTGAAGGCGATCTTGTAGCGCGATTATCGGACGCCATGTTCGAAGTGTTACCAGCCCGGTGTACAATTGAGAATGAGCGTAAACTCCAACAAGTTATCTCGACTGACTGTCTCCGCTTATATCATATCAAAGCCATCAAGATCGCGTCACTGCTGTCTAATTAAACCAGTCTATCATCCAATCAACGCGGCTCGCATTCACGAGGTGTAAAGCCCCGTGTAAAGTGCTGTAATCTACTTTTACAACCACCGACTATAAAAATAGATTTTCCCGATAGCAGCAGAGTTCTCAATCCAATGTTTACGTACAGATGCCTTTACGTCATGTTGCTTGTGAAGGCTATAAATCTTGACGGGATTAACTAAGACGGGTAGTGTGTATACTTGTACGTAAGCTAAAAACTGAGTCGTGACGTAGACGGCCATACCGAAGGGTCACCGTCTCAAGCACGAGCATGTTTCCGGTGTCAAAAATACATCAACCGGAAGGGTTCGTCCGCTTCTCGGATCAATTCAACACTTGTACAGGAAGGTTTGGAGTGCAAGGCATTTCGATGTATTTTTTGGACTGATTTACAGTTGCATGTTGCATGCAACATCTTGTTTAGAGTGTGTTTGTTTGGGCAGGAAATCGTCAAGTGGGTAGCGAGTTGGACGGATTTGCTTTGATCAACTGTTCCTTTGTGTGCGCGGTTCCGCTTTCTTGTGTGTCAAAGCCCATCTTAAATCTACCGAAAATATTTTAGTTTCTAAGAAAAAAAGAGTTGAAATAATCAATCCTTTTTACTCGAAAACAACAGAAAAAAAGCCAATATTTCTTAGGCGGAATAATTCAACCAACGAGCGCGCGCGCATACAGTAACCGTCGTATGGTGCGCAACTGTGTCCAATTTCTGTCGGCACACACCATTCCATTGCGCACTATGCCTTTTGTCCCGGCACGGCTTGAGAACTCATATGAATAGTGCAATTTGTGTCATCTAGAAAATAAAGGTTTACATCGTACAATATAATTTCGTTTTTTTTATCAACTCACCGAAGAAAAAAAAGCAAAAAATGTATCTCGATAGGCAAACAATGTAACATTGATGAGAAACTTCCAACACCAAGATCTTGTCATTGCTCAAATCTTGAAGAATTTCGCTTTAAAACGAATGGTTGAAAATGCGACCTATAGATTCTGCATTGGTTATTTTTAAGCACTTTTTTGTAAAATACGATTTTTCAAAAAATCTCTCGAGTTAAACATGTTTCAAGTCTGCGCGTGGCCTTAGAGATTAAGCCCTATATTTAGGATATATATATATAGAGGATTAAATGTACTAGATCGGTTGTAAAATAACCCCCTGTTCAAGTAGTATAAAAAACATCTCTTTGACCAATTTACGACTTAAATGATAAGAGAAAAACCAAAAGAAACAAATAATGTAATTGATGTTCACAAAAAGTCAATAGTTGGTGAGTATAGGCTTAAATCTATAGTGAGAAGATTAAGTGGATTAAGGAATTACATCTTGTATTTGAACCAAGGCTGTGATAAAGGGGCAAGTTGTTGGGTCGTGTTATATCACTTATCGTAATAATATCAATATCGGATTTGAACAGTGGGATACCTTCCTGTAATAGCTCCTAGCACTCCTAAATAATTAAAGTATAATCTGGCTTTTGTATATTTTTATTTCACTCATCATTTCATTTTTATGCTTAAATACGTAGGTCGTGAAATTTGTTTTCTTGCACAACCCAAAGCCTCCTGTCGGAAAAGAAATAAATCAAAATGTCTTGCATTCTGTGGCGTGGAAGCCGCAATTATCCAGCAAATTTCCAGCAAATTTCAAAGATCATAATCTTTGTGCAATGTCAATAAGCTTTACAACCGCAATCCAAGCATTGAAATAACATTTCCAGATTTTTCTACGATTTTTTCCCCATCTTTTTATACCAGTTTTGGTTCCTTTTTTCCATTTGAAATTGCATGAACTACAACAGGCTTGTTCAGTAGGAATTTAGTAATTTACTAAAAATAATATATCCGTCTCATCCTTTTGTTAAAGCAATCTACTAAAGATATATTGAACTGATAATACATTTTCAGCCTATTTCCTGTAAAAAATGTATAAAAAACCATTTCTTCGCACTACTTGACCAATCCCGCGCAAGGAAGAGTTTATAATATTGAAAAATAAACTTTCCACGAGTTTATTTTACAAACGTAATTCCTAGTTCATTAGTCATGGTCAAAATAGGCGGTGAGTTGCAAATGTCATCACTATTAACTAATCCGTACAATGCATCGTGCACTGCATACCAATAGGACACACACCCACGCCCATTGTAGTGCCCCTGCCCCCAGATCAAAGGTTGGGACCCAGCCCTTTTAAGATCCAAATAAAATATACCCTCACTTAAGCGCATTAGAGGCTCTTTCACTATTGAATATTTATTGAAATAGATATTTATTACCTGAATAAAGGGGATTTGAAGGGGATATGAAGTCGATGTAAAATATGTATATTTTTATGTGGCTTTTTAATTATATATATATAAATTATAATTTGCGTTACTTGCACTATGCCTATTATCTCCGGCAAAGAGATTTTGATTACCATGTCTTGTATGCATTATCGGAGCCAAATTGAAAAAAACCTTTAAATTTTACTAAAATCCAGCATTGCATACTATTATTATCATGTTTAAAGGGTTGAAGAGGTAGGTCGTAGAACTGATATCGTGTATAAAGTTTATAATCCATATTTAGTAGATTCAATCACGAGATATATGTCAATATATATCTTTATCTATTAATGTCGCGATTTAAAATACATTTTATAAGTTTGATACCTCGAGATTAAAAACATATTATGATAATTTTCTGTACCTTTTTATGATATTTTTCGCTAAAAATTATTTCACATAGAGAAGCAGCAACGTTCAAACATAGTCTTTCGTAACTCTAGACACAATCAGCTTTACTCATTGGCGGACTAGCTAGAAAACATAGAAAACTAGTTAATTTGCTGTAGAAAGCTCAGTGTCTTGCATGACCAGTGAATACCAACAAGTAATATATACGGCCCCATCCTGCATGACGTATGATCAAGAGCCCTGCCTTACTGGCCTGGCAAATCCCCTTTCTTGGATAAGTACTAGACAATTGTCTTGTGTTCAATGTACTTTACTCGTAAAGAAATATCAGCACACATGGGGCTACTATGCGTTTTTTCTTGCAGCTAGTATCTGATCGTACGTAATCTCTTACTTTGAAAAAAAAAGTTGAATTTGGTGCGTGTGCTCAGCCGAGTGAAAAAAGGCGGGAAAATATTTCTGGCGTCTCTTTCTTTATAACAATGAGCATTGATTCATTCTCTCTGGGCTGCAAGTTCAGTTTTTTCTTCAGTTTACTCTCTCGTTGTCTTTCTATCTCTCCTTCTGTAGAGCTATGGCATTTCTAGATTTTGTTCCACTAATATAAGCGCCTATATGACATTGCTGGAGATTTTTTTCCTTTTGCATCCATGGAAACGATATAGGTTTTCTGGTTAAACTATGTCATGATTGTTCAATGGAGAATAAGATTGCAGTTTAGGGACGCTATTTGCAGCAATCTTGCGTTACGTGTAGCCGTGGAAGAAAGCTCTCATCAACTACTTACTCGCTCTCAGACAATTACTTATTGGATCGGTGAAGAAAGACGAAAGACCGTCTTATGATGTTACCTCATCTGGTACTTGACTGAGAATGATCTGTATACGTAGCAAGACAATGGACACATATAAGAAATATCAAAGACCAAGTCTGTCCTCCTTTCCTTTGTATGTGGCTGTCCTTTCGTTTCTATCTCCTCATAGTCGTCTGTCGTCATATATTTGACTTTCTTCGTTTTCTTTCTGTCCCAGTTTTTTTTTCAGTATGATGGACCTAACCGTTTTTTCTTCGTCATTGCATTGCTTTACAACCAGTTATTTTCTATATGTCTATGATAACTGAACCTAACATACGATGTTGATTACTCCCTGAGAAGCTTCATGTAAGAGTCTAAATCTGAAAGAACAGAGAAAACAGCTCACAAATTCTAAGCAAAAAGGATACAAATGTGGTGTAATAAACTTAAGATTCGATAAGGAGTGCTGAAGTTTCGAAAAGCGAGAATAAGCTCCTTTACTAGCTTGTAGAACACAAAATCCAAATTACAAACGCTGTAGCTTCAAAAAATAATTTAAAAAATTGAAATGTTTTTGATCGTCGACTATGGGCTAAGTTTATTCATACTTTATTAGCTATGATTTATTTGTACTCGTCGTCATGTCAGTAGCATTGTTTTCTGTATCTCTGGTTTCTTATTCAGTTCATTTTTTTTTCTGCCGTCTCCTTTAAAAAATTCAAAAATTCAAAAATGAATCGGATTCGGTGCGATAACTGAAGATTCTTTCAAATGCGACGCCGCGCAGAGGGACAGTTTAATGTAAAAATAACCTTCTTTACTTCAGTATTTGTTCACTATTCATTTTCTTGCTTATGGTTGAATTTGTATAGGAATCCATTTCGTTGCCTGTCTCAGAAATACAATATGTGATACACTAGCTTAATTCTGTCCTACCTCTGGGGTCCTACCACGCTTTTGGAGATTTGTAATGTACAGTAACTTAAGCTTTCCGTTCGCGTTCCATCATTTTGACTCGATCATCGAGTTCTTATTACTAATATCCATCAATGTACAGTGTGAATTACCTGTTGTATGGGGCTCATCACCGGATATAGGAGGGGAAAAAGGAAGTTTAATAAGAACTTATTTAGACAGCTTATGTGAGGAGGAGGTCTGTCTGGACGGCTTGTTTTGTAGAGTGCGCGCTGCGGTAGGCCTGTTGATCGTATAAAGAGAAGAAGAATAAGATCACCTCTCTACAAGTCATCCAATTCCTGTAGTAGAGCCATTTTAGAAGTAATATAATTAATGATACTTATACAATAAATAATACAATTATGATGACTAGTGGTTACTAGTTGGGACTGTGTGGGTGTGTTGAATACGACAAGTGAATAAGAATGACTAGTGGTTACTAGTTGGGACGATGTTGGTGTGTTTAATACGACAAGTGAATAAAAATGACTAGTGGTTTCTAGTTGGGACTGTGTTAGTGTGTTGAATACAACAAGTGAATAAGAATGACTAGTGGTTACTAGTTGGGACTGGTGTGGGTGTGTTTAATACGACAAGTGAATAAGAATGACTAGTGGTTACTAGTTGGGACTGTGTTGATGTGTTGAATACGACAAGTGAATAATAGAATAAAATAGGATAGGATAGAATAGAATAATTTTTTAAATGACAAATAACACAGGGA